ATAGGCGTATCTCGGCTATCAGTTAAGAAAATTATGGCGACAAAAAAACGTCCCTCACACCCATCACATCCATGATGCTAGGTTTATTCGCGTCCTTCTGAACATTCTAGGCTCACTACCGCTGTCCACCGATTGTTCATTCATTCACAACAGCGTGGACTGGTTGTCGGGAGCCCTTTCTTTCTGGTGGCATTCTTCGGTCGTTGAGTGGGCATTTCTGACGTCCCTTAGACTAGTACGTCTAAGCGCGACGCACAGTTAGACCTCTTCCAGTATATCCCTTATTTTGTTTAGGTTTTCGCGCGGATGAGGATGTCAACGGCATGTTCGAGCGATTTCATCCTGCACGGTGACTAAAGCCACGCGTAAACCCTACCCATTACGAACTCCAGACCTGTTCCCGAGCAGAAAAAGGAGCTTTAAGATGCCACTTGAGAGGGCATTATATTCTTTCCAGAATGATCGGCTAACAGGCTGGAGAAATATGGCAAACAGACGAGGGCACACGTCAGATGCCACGAGAACTAGGGTACGAGTAGTTCAGTTGTCATGGTTGCATTGACCTTGAAACTGATGGGTCGATTTTGATGGTTATGGTTTTTCGAGAACCAGGCTACTTCCGATAGGAGAATGGGCGTACGCGTTACGGGTCCATTGTTTCAACATAAGTCTGTATTATGGCTATCACAGACCCACAGCAGATCCGGAGAACTGGGCCGATCTTATTTCTCTGGTGAGCTTGGTCATTTGCTCATATCTACAGTTGGACCTTTACGGTTTCGTCCTTGTACTAGTGTTCCCCGTCACTGTCCTACTGCTCTGAAGGATGGTTTATCTAATATCCTCGTGGGGCTGTTGAAGATCGACCAACCGTGGCGGTCAATTCAGCTAACATTAACTGTCTCCGAGTCTGATCTCCAAAAAAGACTTGACGAGATGCATTCACGACTTCCTTCGATGAGGTCGAGTTTTCCGACTGTCGGAATCACTCGACAGTGGTATCTTCCGTTTGTATTTCGAAGAAAAAGGTGTTGAGCATTCAGCGGGCTACTCACGAACGAGACGGGGAGTTAGGGACACCTAAACACCGCTGTCCAGATCATCGCTCTAGACGTGTCCAGGGTTTCCTTTCCTCCCCCCCTCGAATCAATGCTCAACGTGGGGTCGGAATCTAGCAGATTGACTCGGGTTAAAAGGTATTGTCTTGCTTGATATCTGTTCTGTCTAATTTATAGTCCCACGAAAATATTTTCGCATTTGGAGACGGAAAAACATTTTCGCAGCCATATATTATAGCACCCGAACCACGAAGAACGCTGTGGCCCCAATTACGATATCGTGGATGATCTAGAAGTAAATAGAATTATGAGAAGGAGATGTGGAATTAAATATTTTAGGAAGAAATAGCTTTTGCTGGTTAGCAAAAGCCTGTCAGTACCACTTACAACGGAGGATGGATTTTTGCGTTTCGATTAAGTGGAGTTTACAGATTATGGGGTGATGAGCAAACACGTCTGAAAACGTATGGTCAAACAAAAACTTCACCTCCGTCACGCCGTTGCCTCGCCAACCTCGGTTGGTAATAGCGCCGGATGAAGGATAGACTGAATAAATAACAGGAATTGTAAACTGTCTTGTATAACTTCCGAGGAGGGTAAATGCAAGAACTTGAAGTACATCCTTCGGAGGAAACCTCCTCTGGTACGGTCGCAAGGTTTAAATGAAGATTTGAGTTGAAGGTAACCAATTACTGCGGTATAACCACGTAATATTCACGAGCTTTAAACAGGTGGTCAGTAGTATACACTATGTAATTATATACCATGATGATAATATAGCTACTAGCAAAAAGCCCAGAAACACGTGCTGCGCCGATCCTATGCCGCTGCAAGGGCTTCAGCCCATCAGTGTCCCACCCCCTGACGTTCGTCCTGTGTTTTCTTTTATATGAACTCAACTTTGCACGCTTCCTGGTTTAATTGTCAAAGAAAAAAATGAGCTAACTTGGAGTAAATACTTCGGATGAAACCTTTTCATGCTTGGTCGTAAAATGTGGATGAATAATCGGGTAACAGTCTAGTATAAGGCTCACAGCTGAAAACAAACTCCCAAAACTCTGTTACAGGTGACCGTTGGTCATGGTAATTTATTTGTGTTCTTATTTTATTATTTTATTTTACTTTTGTAATATAATTGGCTTGATTTATTATTTATTACTTAAATTTATTTTTTCAAGTATCGATCTTTCGTCTCTTTTATATAGATAAGCTTTTTATAGTAGTTTCATTTGCCATTTCCAGCTTTTGTTTGATGTATTTCTTTTATTTGCTCGGTTGTGCCCTCATATCACCCCATCCGTACAAATTGTATTACCTCCGGTCCCGTATGACAGAAGTCTGGGAGTTTGGTTTCCGTGGTGAGCCCCGTAGCAGATTGTTACCAATAATTGAATTGAACTCACTCAGTTACTGTGCCATCATCACGTATTTGGGCTTTCAGCTAGTGAGTTAAGGGATTGCATATCAAAATGAGAAGCGCTTACTGTACAAAACTGCGAAAACCAGAGCTGTCCATTCGAGGTGTGAGCACCTCAACACCCAAAGAGCAGTCCAAACGATGTATATGATGACCGCTCAAGGTCCTTCCGGAACTGTCCAAGTGGATGACGTAGGGGAAATTCGCGGCAGAGCAATGGTCGATTCCGGAGACAATTTGCTGTTCAACTAGGCGCCTCTCAGAAAGGATGGTGATGAAGATATCGGCCAGTTTATCCAACAAGCGTAGATCGGTAACCGTCGCCGCCTTGGGAAGTCGCCTTTTTCTTGCGGTCAGTGACGTTTTGGGCTGAAATGCACACAGACGGTGTCATGGATGTTAGAACCTTATCGAAATGCCAACCCCTCAAAACAACAAAGAGCTGCTTACCCTGTCTAGTTTTATTTTGTAATCAGCGATCCAACAAAGGGTACGCTTTTGTCTTCATCTGTGGTTTGGTTTACAACTATCCTGTATGATAATATTGTCGCAGCCCGTCTGAAGCCAGTAGCTTAAGCATCTGGATGGACGATAAGATGACAGCTTTTGGTGCAGAATTGGGTGCTAAACGATCGTTACCCTATAACCAGCTTACTGAAACGATTTGAGTAGTCATTACTACGCTGGCTTTTATACTCTTGGATAGTTATGGGCATGGGTTTTGGCGGGTCGTTTGGAGAGTTTAGAAGTAGATAATTGTGGGAATGTAAGTATGGTGCTGGGTTAAGAGAAGTAAGGAGTATAGATTTTGGTTTAGAACTGTAACCGGAATTACTGCTACACCGGAAACGGGATCCCAAATTGTCTATCTGGGCCAATAAACCTAGAGTACTAATTTCCTGATCCAAGTCCTAAACTCCAATCCCCAACCTAACGTCTTTATGACTCCATTCACAGTATTATCTACACAATAATGTCCCAAACAACCCGCTATCCAAGAGAAGGCAATCCAGCGTAATCGTGACTACTCAAGTCGTTTCAGTAAGCAAGCCATAAGACAACCACCAAGTGGACTACAGAACCATTCCCTACCGAACTTTGTGCAGAGAATTACGAAAATGGTCTTAAAATGCATTTCCAGTTTTATTTAACAACGAACTCTATTTCATGGGCTCAATGATTCGCACCTGGCCTGGAAATAAGTGGAGGCCAGGGGAGTATGTAGCTGCTGTGCGGCTGCTGGCAAAGTTCGAGAATGAGCCCAAAGGTAGAGCGGGACAAGTGAGTTCCGTTAGCGATCGGTAAAAGTTAATCAACATCTGTGAATATCTTCCGAGGTAAATCGGCAAGACAACGAGCCATGGCCCAATAGTTAGAGCGTAGGACTGGAAATAAGTGAAGGTCAAAAGGACATGTAATTTCTATCCCAAAATTGAGACAGACCTCAGCAGTCAAACTCCCATAGCTCTGTGCATTTGATTGGTTTTCGTTGGGTTCCGCGATGCCACCAACTTCAGCGTGCTCCGTCTTGGTTTCCGTCTGATCTTGTGAAGGCATAGTCTGTTCGACCTAAATGCCCCTCTGAGCATAATTTCGGATTCATTTTACCTGAAGACTGGTCATGTTATCCGGCGAACTTGCCTCCTCGTTTTTAACAATGTCACCGCCGGCTGCAGTCTGCAGGAAAGGACAACAGGAGCCTCAGAGTTGAAAAGAGGTTTCACATCTTGCTGCCTTAGAGATTGGCGGCTATATAAGCAATCAAGAGTTCAAAAGACGGGACGCCTCGCTGTCCAAAAGGGCGGTGGCTACATAAGCAATCAAGAAAGAAAGAGGGTAGGATTTAGACACCAACCTCACAAATATCGGTATTCTTGGAGGCCTCGAAGGAAGGGAAAGTTTGGGCGAGAGAACCAGGGTTAAGTGAGGTGTTCTAGGCGATGAAAGCCTCAATAAAATGGCAAGACTACCTCAAGGGAAGAAAGTGTGCGACAGGAGATGATTTCGCATTCTGTATCCCGCGTATGCTCTCCCTCCGGCGGGCATGGAAAGTAAACATTGTCCTCGGAGTATATGCAATGCAGGAGATTACGTGAATCCCTGCAAAGCAAAAAGCAGCATCACTTGAAGAAGTTGGAGGGGGAAGGAATGAAGAACACTGTCAGAGGAGTTAAAATTTCGAGCAATCAGTTGACATGGAAAGGCAGTGGCTCTGTAGTGCCACCTGTAGCGCCACAAATGAGGCCGCGTGACTGCAGTTCTTGGCCCGCCTCTGGGATATGGAATCAAGGGTGCTGAAAATTGTGCTGGC